AGTAAGCACTTAGCACATCATGCCTGGCATGAGTAAGGCCTAGATGAATGGAAGATTACACACACGTATACACACACGCCCACACACGCACCAATTTATCTTTACTCTTGAGTCTTGTCTGTTTACACCTTCTGTGCAGAAAGCTCATCCATTCTACCGGCTTAGTGGTCAACTCTATCCAGAAGGCTCCTTTATCTGTAGATCTAGCTCTTACCTCTGACCTAGTGTCTAACCGCCAGCTATTACTAATGTCCCATTTGGCTGTTATTTAAATGGTCCTATCCTTTTGGAATCCCGGTGTTGTGCTGTGGGTTAATGTGCCAGACTGCAAAGCCATTTGAACTGCAAGGTCAGCAGTTCAAGCTCACCAGCTGCTCCTTGGAAACCATATACAAGGTCGCTATGTGTTGGAACCGACTCGACGGCACTTAACAACAACGACATATTTCTTTAGCTAGTAAGAGTGTCTTTTGAAGCCAAACCATTATGGTAGTGATTTTAGGATGCACAGAGTAATATAGCTTTAGATTTTCTATTTGGAAAATGAGGACTCTGTGGCTTAGAGAATGCAAACAACTTGTCTCAAATCACACTATTTTCAAATGTTGATCTCAATGTTGCTGACATCGACTTCTACACAGACACCAGAGCTCTTTGACATGGCAGGATAGTCACAGGAGAGTTCTGGATTTAGATTGATGGTAAAACAGGATTTAAAAACCAACCACCCAACCAACAGTTGCCATTAAGTTGACCTCATGTGTCAGGGCAGAATTATGCTCCATAGAATTTCCAATGACTGCTTGTTGTCAGAAATTGATAATCAGGTCTTTCTTCTGATGTGTCTCTATGTGGATTGGAAATGCCAATCTTACATAGGAAACAATCACATTAACTGCTTGTAGCACCCAGGGACTACAAAACAGTACTTAGCAGTGATAAAGTGACTGCCAATCGTGTGACCATGGGCAAGGCACTTACCACTGATTGCTGACATAGATTATTTCTCCATTTCTAAAATCATATCCATTCTATTTACCTCAGAGGGTCTTGTAGGGTCTAGATTCCAGACTAAGTGTGTGAAAATGTTTGTATAATGTAAATATGTATAAATATTATGTTTGTCTTTTATAAATGCATGATACATAACACACATACACACACACATATATAAGACATATACATATATGTGTGTATTGTGTTTAAATATTAATGACTCATTTGATCTAATAAAACCATTTTCAACTAAACCCATTTCCTTGCATATATCTGATTTGTTATTCCCATTTTATGATGGTCTGTGGTAAATTCTAGGATCCCTAGAAGTGCTCGTTGCTAACTGAAAGGTCAGTGATTTGGAGCCACTAGCCACTCTGTGGGAGAAAGATGTGGCAGTCTGTGTCTGTAATGGTTAACAGTTTTGTAAACTTTATGGGCAGTTACTGGAAAGTTGATGGTTCAAACCCACCAGCTGCTCCTTGGACACCCTATACAGGGTCACTATGAGTTGGAGTTAACTAGGCAGTACTTAACAACAACAATGGGCAGTTCTACTCTGTCCTATAGTGTCTCTATGGGTCGGAATGGATTCAACAGTAACAGGTATGGCATAGATCTTATTTATTACCAGTTTTTTGCTGGTAGTTTCTCTGTGCATTACAAAGAAAGCTCAGTGCTTTGGAGCTCAGACTCCTGGTAAGGAAGAATGCAGAAGGGAATTTTGTTGTGTTGAAATTCAAGTTAACCATTTTGGTGCTTAACAATTGGAGAAGTGCCTTGCTCATAAGGGAATCAAGAGAACATAGCCTTGGGAAAGTAGATTATTGAAGTATTGAACCATTTTGAACTTCATGGATATTAAGATATTCTTTTGATTCTTAATGGATAATTTACTGTGTAGTTTATTGTATGGCTCAAAAAAATGCATGTAATTCTAGTGTCTTGTCAGTGTGTTGTTGTTGTTGTTAAGTGCCGTCTAGTCAGTTCTGACCCATAGCAACCCTGTAGAGTTTCCAAGGAGTGGCTGGTGAGCTTGAACCGCCTGCCTTGCAGGTCCAAGCCGACCTTTCAGTCTAGCGCATTAGCCTGTAGCTTTACACAAGAATTTGTAAAGAGAGAGGCACTCGCTCACTGGCATCATGAGGATTCCGACTCATAGCAACCCTGTAGAAGGTTTCCGAGGCCATGATGTCCATGTTAGCAGAAAGCCTCATCTTTCTCCCATGGAACAGCTGGTGGGTTTGAACTACTAACCTTGTAGTTAGCAGTCCAGTGCTTATCCTACAGCACTACCAACACTCCTTATAAAGAGAGTGTTGCTGTATCTTTGGAGATAGATAGATAGATAGATAGGTAGATAAATAGATAGATAGACAGATATATATAGGAGTCCTGGTGTCGCGCTTTGAGTTAATGTGCTAGACTGAATAGGCTGCGATGTTGGCTTGAACCACCAGGTTGGCAGTTCAAGCTCACCAGTTGCTACTTAGAAACCCTCTGGGGTCAATATGGGTCAAAACCGACTCACCGGCACTTAACAACAACAATATGTATATATGTGTGTGTTTGTGTTTGGTCTTTTTCCTATCTGGGTCTATGGTGGTGGTGGTGGTGGTGTTTATGTGCCATGGAGTCAGTTCTGACTCATAGTAATCCTGTAGAGGGTTTCCGAGGAGTGACTGGTGGGTTTGAACAGCCCACCTTGTAATTAGCAGTCCAATGCTTCTCCTACGGGGCTCCATCAGGACTCATGAGTAGCAAATTGGTTTGAACTTGAGAATACCTTTCAGTTGACAGAAGGTTGTGGCTTGGAGACCTTGGAGACCTGTGTGGAAAGAGGTTCAGTTGAGACTAGATCAAGTCAGACCAGTGCTTTAGTCAATTAGAAGTGTCTACAAAGATGAGGCTTTCTGCTCCCGTAAGGATTTCTAGCCTCGCAAACTCTGAACAGGGTCGCTATGAGTTGGAACTGACTCCACAAATTTTTTCCACAAATTTTTTGAAGTTCCCTCATAGACAGTGGAATTAGCACTGAGGCCTCAGTTATAATCTTGGGGTCACCAACTTGTACCTGGAAGACCTTGAACTGGGCCCTTAATTGCTCTGCACTTTTGTTCTCTTTGCAAAATAATTTCTAAATGGTCCTTTCTAGCTCTTATATCCCTTTTGTGAGAAAAGGGCAATTTACAGTGTTTTAAGTTCTAAAATGATTGATTAATTTATCTTTAAAAATAAAATGTAATTTTTATCAGTGTCTGCTCAAGTGCACCATTATCAAGGGAGATTGTCCTTAAAGATTGTTGCTGTTGTTAAGTGTTTTTGAGTTGGTTCCAACTCATAGCGAACTTGTATAGGATTTCCAAGGAGTGGCTGATGGGTTTGAACCGCTGATCTTATGGTTCCTAGTCCAGTGCTGATTCACAGCGCCATATCAGGGCTCCATGATGATTTATGAAGGTCTAATTTCTGCCCTCGTGTCCTGGTGTGGTGCTGTGGATTAATGCTCTGGACTGCAAGGTTGGTTTGAACCGCAAGGTCGGCAGTTCAAGCTTACCAGACGCTCCTTGGAAACCCTATACAGGGTTGCTACAGGTCAGAGCCAACTTGACGGCACTTAACAACAACAACAAAGATCAACTATAATTTCTGCTGTACTCCTCTAATCGGATCTGATAAGGTTTAGATTCTAGAGAAGATGTGGAAATTTTTTGTAAACTAAAAAATACCGCATAAATTTAACACAGTTTAAAACTGTTAACAATAACAGCAACGAAAATTTTCTAAGTAATAAGTCTTTAGAAAGCCAAGACTATGAAAGAAATGATATAACTTTAAAAGAGGATTCTTGAAACATGATTTTGACTGTGGTGATGGTGGTTATGTGTTGTGGAGTCAGTTCTGACTCAGTGATCCTACGAGGGTTTCCAAGGCTGTAAATCTTTACGGGAGCAGAAAGCCTCATCTTTTTCCCATAGAACTGCTGGTAGTTTTGAACTGCTGACCATGAGGTTAGCAGCCTGACTCATAACCACTATGCTACCAGTGCTCCTTTATTTTGACTATAGCAAAGGAAAAATTAAATTAATATTGAAAGCTGAATATGTTTGACATGGAACCTTTGTAGTCATCCTTATGCAACTTTCAGAAAAAGAGATGGAGTCGGGGATTTTTTTGTTGTTCTTTTCATTTAGAAAAGGGAATCAACATGCTTACTTATTTCTTTTTCTATGATAAAAACTTTTACAAAATCTTTTTCTTTCAAGCCCCCTAAAATCAGGGTTAAGGTGCACTGGTAGCATCGTGGTTATGTGTTGGGCTGTTAACCACAAAATCAGCGGTTCTTTAGGAGAAAGATGTGGCTTTCTCCTCCCATAAAGATTTACAGCCTCAGATACCATACAGGGTTACTGTGAGTTAGAACTCGCTCTATCACATACCACCACCATCACCAAAATCAGGCTCCCATTGACTCTGCAGATTTTTTAGAGCTAATTTTAGGTGAATTGGTTTCCTCAGTTTTATTCTTAGTAATATTATTTTTTAAAAAGACAGTTTCACATGTTGCAGTGTTTAAAAATGATACGGTCCCTAGAAAACTAATGGCAAGACTTCCTGTAGTTCAATTCGTGGGTGGGTGGGTGGGTGCATATTGAGAAAGCTCTCACATCTACAACCTTCCACAAATCATAGTCCTCCATTGAAAGGAACTTCTCATCTTTATTTGATTAAAAAAAAAAAAAAAAGTGTCAGAAGACTGGGGTGGGGGCTTGTTGTGTGCCATCAAGTCGATTCCGTCTCATAGTGAACCTGGGGACAGGGTAGTGTTTTACTGGAGCAGAGTGACTGGTAGGTTCAAACCACCAACCATTTGGTTAGTAACCAAGCACTTAACCATGTGCCATCGGGTCTCCTTGGATAGCGGCATCTTTATTAAAAGTGGAGGGAGCAGATTAGTCAGTTCAGTTCATTGCTGATGCGACTTTTATGATCTTTGTTTTCAGATCAGACTCCAACTCCTACGAGATTCCTGAAAAACTGCGAGGAAGTGGGCCTCTTCAGTGAACTGGAGTGCCCCCTACAGCATGAGTTCAGGGATACCCCGGAGGAAGAGAGCAGCAAGCGGGTAGGTTTGCTTGTGTGGACATCTTCAGAGGCGAGTCCAAGGCATCCACTAGAAACCTCCCGGTGGAAATGAGGCAGTACTGTAGATTGTAAGAATGTGGCCGTAAAATAGAATTTTATTCATTTGTGAGCGTCTCCCTAACATCTAGGAGCCCTGGTGGTGCAGTGGTTAAGGCCCTCAGCGACTTACCAGAAGGTTGGCTGTTAGAACCCAGGAGAAAGATGAGACCATCTGCTTCTGTAAAGATTTATAGTCTTGAAAGCCCTCTTGAGCAGTTCTACGGTGTCTTGTAGGGTCTCTATGAATCAGAACCAACTCAATAGCAGTGGGGTTTGGCCTAATGTTTAAAACAATGCTGTCTCTGATTGTGATAACATCTCCAAAGCTAGAAACATCATGGGGAAAGTAGGTATCTGAAATAAGAAATTCAAGTGAACAAGAAAACTGCGCTTAATTCTTGAACTTGTCTCAGATAAACTTAGAGACTTGTCTACGAAGAGTCAGTTATTCTACTTTGCTAAATATTTCATTGCACTTCTTTCATGGGTGGTGAGTGCAGGAGAGAAGGGCCAGGGCCAAAGAGAAAGAGCATCTTCATCATGGCAGCAGAGGGGGTTTCACTGGATCTGGGTCCAGGTTGTAGCTGTCTGTTTGCCACAGTTTTCCTGGTCCTTTTCCACCTGTTCACAGTTACTTTCTGGTCACATTACTGAACATCTGCTATTGTTGAGACTAATAGGTTAACTATGAGTGTGGGGTTCTTTTGCTCTTATATGTAGGAAATCCATTTTATGTATTTCTTCAGAATCCATCCAGCTTTTATCTTAATGTTGTGATGGAATTCTAGAATCATTTTACAGAAGGGCCAGTGAGGTACTAAGGAATTCTGAAGTCCCAGCTGTTTATCCACACAGGGCATTTTAAAAGGCTCTGATAATTCTCGGAGTGTTTCAAAGCCTTTGAATCATCCTCTATGTGGAATTATCATAATCCGCCTTCAGCAGCTTTTTCATGTCATGTTCACCCATCAGAATAGTCAAGGCTTTTACTCCGTATGGATTGCTTTGAAGAAAACAGTTGTAAATTATAAGAAGGGTGTAAAATCCCAATCAACTTGTTTATTTGCAATTAATTTATTATTTATATTTGTCTTCCTTTCCTTAGTGAAATGAAGTGCCTTAAAATAAACAAAAGAAAACAAAAAAAAATGGGATCTTATATAGCACTTATTGCTTGCAGATTAAAACAACAACAATAACAACAATAATCATGAACTAGAAGGGGGAGAAGAGGAACCTAAAAACTCTAGACTCGGAAATTTCTTTGCTTGTATAATATACCTAGCTATTCTTAGTAGAAGGAGCTCTGGTAGCGTAGTGCTTACAAATCAGACTGCGAACCTTAAGGTCAGCAGTTCAAAACTACCAGCCGCTCCACAGGAGAAAGATGAGGCTTTCTGCTCCTGTAAAGATTTACAGCCTCGGAAACCCTATACAGGGTCTCTATGGGTTGGAACTGACTCCATGGCACTTAACAACAACAACAGCAATTCTTAGTAGATGGACCTGGCATTTGCAGGGAGTTGCTTAAGGGGCTTAATTTCATTCAAGTCCTCAAGGTTGTCAGAGTTGGCTTCTTGGATAAGCTGATTTATAAGGTAGATGTGTACTGGTCCATATTGTCATCATTTCTGGTGGAGGGTTTTAACGGAAGAGTTCCTTGGTGGTACAACTGGTGAACACATTGGCTTCTAAGAAAGCATTGTAGGATGGAATCCACCCAGAGGAACCTTGGAAGAAAGTCCTGGTCATCTACTGCTACAAAATTAGCCATCGAGATTCCTCTGGAGCACGGTTCTACTCTGATACACATGGACCGCCATGAGCAGAATCAACTCAATGGCACGCAGGGATTTTTCTGAAGAGATGTCACTAAGAACAGTCACAGGCAAGGGACAGTTTTAAATGCTCTGCATTACATTCATGATCCACATAAATGACTGAAGTCTGAATTCTAGGAAATGGCTTGGCTTCCTTGGGGACACAGAGTCACGTAACTAGCTCTGCTTCTCTTTTTGCTTTTACTGCTAGGTAACCTGAAGCCAAGTTTTGTTCATAACTTTGAGACATTTTCAGAACACTATGATGAGCATACTTTATTTATCCCCACCCCCAGACTAGACTTTCAGTTCTAGTTTTTAAATTTTCTCTGGTACTGAGTTTTAATTAAAAAAATATTTTCCTGCTGTAAATTTGTGTGTGTGTGTGTGTGTGTGAATTGCTTTAAATTCCATTGTGGGTTGAGAAAAATCATAAATAATTAAATTTAAAAGCTAAAAGTAATTAGGCAAGTAGAGTTGAGACAGTGGGTGAATGCAGGGGTAGAAATATGCTATTTCTGCCTTTTCAATGTTGCTTGTAGCCATGTGGTGGATGATTGTATGATGGATATGCCAGTGGGGGGTCCCACAGCCAGATCACTACGGTTTGGGGGTCTGTCTCTCTAGTTGCAGTTTGACATAAAATATTCTGTTAAGATACAGTAAAACTTGCAAAAGTCAGAGCTGGTATAAGGCAGAAGCCTGCCCTAAATAGAAAACTCAAATTGTACCCACTAAAATGAATGATAGAAAAGAAGTACACCTGCGCCCTGTCAATGTGGGAAAATTTACGAGACCCTGAAAAACAAGGCAGTCCCGTTGAGTTCTGGCTCTCATAGGTAATGCTTCCACAGACTGCATTCCTAATCCTGACATCTTTTCCCCAAAATATTCCAATGTGTATGTAGAGTAAGACAGACTGCAGGCAGGTCATAACCACTGGAAGAACATATACAATGTCTTTATTTATATACATATATAGTTTATAACACATTTTCCATGTTAGTATAAACTCATAGCCTTATGACTTTTTAATAAGAGATTCTGTTTTGTTCAGACAAGCACGTGGTAACTCATAAGCAGGCATCACAAACCTTAGTTTGCCTATGATTTAGGATTTGGGATAGTCCCTGTCCTGAAACATATCAGAAACTTTTGGTTATGTATTTATTTATTCAAGAAATATTTTCAAGTACCCATCATGTGCCAGGCATTGTCCAAGGAATGAATGAATGTATCACTGAATAAAGTTAATGAAAACCTCTGACTTCATGTAGCTTACTTCTTGTGGGTAAGACAATAGACAAGCCCAAAAAGTATACTACATGTATGCCAGATGGTGGTGATCAAAGGTATGGAAAAAATCTAGAGTGGTCATAGAAGGACTTGCTGGTAAGTAGGCATCTGAGCAGAGACAAGAGGCAAAAGGCCTGAACCCAGTATCTATCTGGAGCAAGAATTCTCCAATACAAAGACCTCAAAGCTGGATGAGGCTCTTAAGGAATTGCAAGGAGGCAATTGGCTGGAGGAGGCTAGTGAGCTGAGTGTGGGGTTGGTGGTGGAGAGTCATTTGAGAGGTCTTGTAGGCCCTTTTGAGAACTTTGGCTCTTTGAGTGAGATGGGGAGTCATTGGGGCAAAAGAGTGATCTGACTTCTCTTCTAGAATAGACTTTGGCTGCTGAGTTGAAAGCAAGCTGCAATGGCAGAGGGAAACCAGTTAAAAGAATATTGAAGGAATCCAAGGTGAATATGATGGCAGATTGATTCAAGGTCGGGGAGGAGAGGGTGGTTGTATTCTGGGTATATTTTGAAGGTAGAATCAGCAGATCCTCCTGACAGATTGGATGAGGGAAATAATATGAAAGAGTGGAATCAAGAATGAACTCAGTTATTTGACCTGAGCAACAGGAAGGTTACCTCTGGGTGAAGGAAGTTCAAAGAAACAATTGATGTATTTGATGCTAGACTTGTTAACTGGAGGTATTAGCTAGACAGTTAGATATAGAAATATGTAATTCAGGAGGTATAGAACAACCTGGAGATGTCACTTGGGAGGCATCGTCATATCCATCCACAAGTACCAGTTGCCACTGAGTTGACTCTGAGTCATGACAACACCATGTGTGTCCAAATAGAAGTCTGTTCCATAGGGTTTTTGATTTCTTAATAACATTTTATTTTGTTTTCATTCCCATTCAGCAATTTCTGCACAAGTTGTTCAGTGACATTGTTTGCATCCTTCACAATGCATAAAGATGCCCTATTTCCATTCTGGTTGTTTCCATTTCATTAATCTACTTCTCTTGTCCTCATTATGTTTTCATCTTTGTTTTAGTGTACTTGTTGACTGTTTGGCCTCATATAGGTGATGTCTTTTAAAGGAGGACATAAATATTGGTGATATTCATTATTTTTTGAACCAGTGTGTTATTTATCTATAAAGTGACTTCAGGGGTTAGTTTTAGTTCAAGGTTTGAAGATGATCTCAAGGCAATAATCTTGGGGAGACCTCTAGTTTCAACCAGTCCAGCAGATCTGGTGACTTTTTGATGTGTTGTTCCATATTTTTATCCATTACATCAGGACCATGTATTGTGGGCTTCTTTGGAATTGTAAGGAGCAGCTGTGAGGTACCATCTAGCTTTTATGGCCTCAGGTTAGATGAAACTGTGGCTCATGTAGACCTTAACATCCTTTAGACTAGTTTCAGAAACTTGACCTCTAACCTTTCTGATAACAGCTGAGCATATTTATCAATCATTTGCATCACTCAGGGAGACTCCCATAGGCTTATGTTGTTATTGTTAAGTGCCGTTGAGTTGGTTTCAACCATAGCAACCCTGTATAAGGTTTCTGAGGAGCCGCTGTTGAGCTTGAACTTCTGACTTTGCAGTTCAAATGGCTTTGAAGTCTGGCGCATGAACCCTCAGTGCTACACCAGGACTTATAAATGGTGTTCAAGTGTGTGAGACTAGATGGAATCATCTGGGTCAATAGTGAATCTATATGAAATCTGAGCCGGGAACTTGGGAAAATTCTCTAGAAACCTTCAAGACAGAGTATTCAACTTTCCTCAGTAGCCAGAGGTAACATAGATTGTGATTCTAAAGAACCAACTCAA